TGGGGTTTTATTATTTGTTTATTTGTTTATATTTCATAGTTCTAGACCTGTGATGGTGAACCTATGGCGCACGTGCCCAAAGTGGCACACAAAGCCATGTCGCCCGGCATGCGCACCCTTGCCTGTTTGTCTTCTGGGTTTCTGGCACGCATGCGCGCAAGATGATCAGCTGTCCTTCCTGTGTGCGGCACTGCTGAAAAACCAGTATGTGCATGCATGCTGGCCAGCTGATCGTCATGTGCGCATCTACGCTAGAACCTGGAAGTTCAGCTTTTCCGGAATGCAGCTCCGCTGAGCGTGTGATGCTGGTGCATGACATTTCCGCACAACTTTTCAGCAGTCGGTGCCAAAAAGGTTCACCATCACTGTTCTGGACCACCCTTCTCCTTCAAAGAGATTGGCTTCTGGGAACATCTGGTATGTCAGAGGTTTTCCCACCTTGGGCAGTTGATGGGTAGGACTGAACAACAAGGTACTTCCCTCTTCCCTTCTGAGTATTAATCGTGATTGAGCGTTATGTCTTCACTATTGCTGAAGCTATCAACTAGACACGAATAGAAATTGGATTTGCTAATTTACAAATCTTAATTAAGAAAGAGATTGGTTAGGATCCGAACAGACAGAACACAAATGACAGAAGCCCAACAGAAGAATGCGTAGGAGGAGAAACAATTGTGAATTATCCTCGTCCCTTCTTCAAACAGCATTTAGCATAACCTGCTCCAATCTTAAGACTCCGTGGGTGATTGTAATGCAACTGTCATTATCTTGATTTTGTTAGGGACTTCGATGGATACTAATCATAATTAGCAGCGACACAGGTATAATATCCTTTATAGCCATAAAGGAAATGTGTAAATTAAGGGGAAAAGGAATGAGACAGGAAGTCACTCGTAACCAGGGCTCACAAATTATGCTACACCATAATTATTTTTAGAAGCAGAAGCCTTAATAACCTGGTTTACCTAACACTAGGGTGCAAGTATTACAAGCGGGAGTGGCTGGGTTCAAACATTTTATATTAAGCTAAAGCCTAAGGAACAAAATCATCGTTTAATGAAAGGTGTAAGCCTAGTGTATAATCTCCACTAGATCACCCACTGCCTAAAAGACATTTTCTCTTCTCAATTGGTTTGCATCTGCACTTACCTGCTGGTGCTGCCGGGCCCCATCTGTGATCGACTTGACAACTACCTCAATTAATTGCTTGCACATCATCTGTCAGGAAACAAAAGACAGGCAATTAATAGGCCTGAGCCATATTTGGAAATATACTCTGCAAATAGACAACAAAAAACTCCCTTAAAAACACCCACATTCAGTTCAATTGAGTGTCGATCAGACAAAAGGAAGAAGGTAACTAGTGGAACTCGCTGTCACAACATGAGGTGGAAGGGGATTTTAAAAGCCGATTAGGCAAATTTGCAGCAGAAACAATCAATATTATTAAGTGGGATGGCACATACACCCCCTAGGTTCAGAGGTATTGCCTCTGAATACTAATTCTGACTGGGAAAGCTTGAGGGCAAAAGAAGAAGGGGACGACAGAGAAGGAGGTGGCTGGATGGAATCACTGAAGCAGGCGGCGCGAGCTTAAATGGACTCCAGAGGATGGTAGAGGACAGGAAGGCCTGGGGGAACGTTGTCCATGGGGTCGCAATGGGTCNTCTACTTACCTACCTAACTACTCTTTCTCTCTCCTTAGCTACCTACTGTATTTCTCTCTCTTTCTATCCCTCTTTATCCCTCTAACTACCTACCTACTTTTTTGTAATTTGCCTCTTCAAAACCTTGGTGTGTCTTATACTCTGTTGTGTCTTATACTCCAAAAAATACGGTAACTGTATAACTAACTGTAACCTTGGAACTGGATATTATGGAAAGGTGGAAGTTTGAAGAATTACATGAATAAACATATGCATAAATCATTAAACTTAAGTTTAAATAGAATCTTGAAGTTAGAAACTGAGGAGAGGCAGGAAATGAGGGAAGAAGAGGGAGAGAGTAATGAAATGGTAGAAATGGTGGCAAATAAAAAGCAGATAAAAGATTTCACTGGATTTGACAGTGGCATAGGGAAATTTGAAAAGGGGGGATATGTCCCAACAAAGAAAAGAGACAGGAATGGAGAAGAAAGAAAAGAAAGAAAGAAGTGATAAGAGAAAAGAGGAAGAGAAGACAGGGAGACAGAGGATATGCCAAAAGATGCAGCAGTGGGTTGAGAAGAAAAAAGATATACTCAGTAGAAAGAAAAAGCAGTTTAGAATTTGGGATAAAATACTTACTAGGAGAAAGCAGATATTTAGAAATTGTTATGTGGAGAATATGAAGTTGAGGTGACCTACTCTTTTACATGATAATTAAACTGAGTTGCTAATTGATTGAATATGATAATGGAAAGATAATTAAATATAGGTTAAATATATGAAATATGGACACAGAATTCTTAAGAAGGTGAACAAAAGTGAGGTGTATTGCTTGTTATTTTACACAGCAGGCCAACAGAATTGTAATGAACATTAAACAGCAAGGATTGTTATTTAAAGACAATTAAATGTAAGCTGAGTTAAGATATGGAGAAATGGAGGGGCATATGAAACATGCTAATAATGGAAAATTATTGAGATGATAAAGACAGAATTAAAAATTTGGGGCATGTAATGATGAATAACTATACAATATTATGATGAGAATAGCTGGGAATTGTAACCAGGTCCACATTTTGGCCAAAAATAAGTTGGGGGGGGGGTGTTAAAATATAATTGGTATATATATGTATACTTTTTTCTTTTAAAAAAAAAGGAGGAGGAGGATATGTGTTAAAATTAAAGATGTTTATTGAAATGAAATTATAAATACCATCAACATAAAATGGAGCCAGCTCAGAGGCTGAAATACACCAAGTAAATGAGATGAAGAGCATGGAAGAGACAAGAGATAAAGGGAAGAAGAAAGGGTTAGGAGAGAGGATGGAGGAGGAGAGAAAGAAGGAGTGGAAAGGGGAGAGAGGAAGGGGAAGTAGAGAAGAGAAAGATGACAGAGAGAAGAAAGAAGGTAGGGAGGAAGAGGAGAGAGGGAGAAGAAAGTGATGGATATGGTACAAATATGGTGTATGGAGAACAGAAGAGCCAATAATCATTCTTGGGGGTTGATGGTAAGACAAATTGATGTAAATATTTAATAATACAAAATAATGTTAGTTATATAACAGTATACATGTGATTTTTTGTATGAAAATGAAAAAAATAAAACCCTTAAAAAATAGTTCATTTAATGACTATTCAAAGTTACAACAGCACTGAAAAAGTGACTAATGACCATTTTTCACACTTATGAGCCTTGCAGCATCCCCAATTCCATGTGATCAAAATTCAAAGCCCTCTAGCACGTGATTTCATATTTATGATGGTTGCATTGTCCTGACGTGATGTGATCAACCTTTTGCCACCTTCTGACAAGCAAAAGTCAACGGGGAAAACAAATTCACTTATAACAACCGTGTTACTAACTTAACAACTACAGTGATTCACTTAACATCTGTGGCAAGAAAGGTCGTAAAACAGAACAAAATTCATTTAACAAATGTTGCACTTAAGCAACAGAAATTTTGGGCTCAATTGTGATTGTAAGTCGAGTACTATCTGTAGTTTTAAGGTGCCTTCTTGTGCAAAAGGAATGGATAGACCTTGACGTGCAGAGTTACAATATCTACTTTTACATGGAGTCATTGAATAAGAAAAAAAATACCCTTCTCTCAGGAAATTCAGCTTGTTTCTGAATGTATGAGTTCTTATGTTTGCAGGAAATATATCCAATCTGTGTGATAACAGCTGAATGTATACAAAATTTGACAGTTGTATAGATGGGGATCTAGGATGTGGCTCATTGCCCAGAATTCTTAACTCTAAAGAAAATGTTCACTCCTGATTTCAACAAGATTTCAACCAATTTCGTTGTATTTATTTTGTACAATGACAATAAAGACTATACTATACTAAGATCCAGTTGCAATCATCAATTTATATCTGCTATGTCAATACAAAGTGTGTAGTGCAAAAAGAAATATTTTGTTTATTGATTGTCATTGTTTATTGATTTTGAATTTTTTTTAAAAAAATAGGTAAAATGAAAATCAGTGCTGTATTTGTCCACTATTTATCTTTGTTCCAGGAATTCAGGTGGCCTACACAGGACTCCATCCTCTGATTTATTCCCCATAACAACCATCCTGTGAAGTTGGTTGGAGAGTCTATACAAGGAAAGTTCATAATACTCTGCAAAGTCTTTTCACAAAAGAAGAATAAAAAAAAATCCTGTGCACATTGTTAAAGCAGTGTCTTGAACCTTCTCATGGCCATCATTCTCTGTTGTCCAGTAAATGTCCTTATGGAAGCTTTGATTTGATTTAGAACCCTTTTCTGCATAGATTTCCTTACTTAGAGATTTGTTGATTGAGCATTTTGCTGTGATGTGATTGGCTCCTGGTTAGCAGTGTGAGGTGTTCCAGAAGACACTTTGGATTCCAGGTATTCGACTGCTCCGTATAAGACCATCGCCACAATCAGAACAGTTACCAGAATGTATAGTTTGATGGAGACGCTTAAGAAGGTGCTGTAGCCAAAGGCTATGACAAAGCCCAATGACTCCCACAGGCGGTAATTTGCAAAGGCTGCCTCTTTGTGCTTCTCAAATAAAATTCCATAGAGAGCTATTAAAGAAAAATATATATAAGAGAGAATGATATCAGATAATCTTTACGACATCAGCTCAGATTTATGTTTTTTTAAACAGCAGTTGTCACCTATTTCAAACAAAGGTGATTCTGCATTACAATCTTTTATTATACCTCTCTTTTTGTGCCAAGTATTTTCAGAGCACTCTGTTATAGATTGGGATACCTTTTATGGCTGCAGGGAGGGAGTGTTCTGATCATATCAAACTCTTTGGTTTCCCATCTTTCTGCTCTGAATGGCAAGATTTTATCGAGTCTTTTCTCTTTTTACAGAGAGAAGTGGGTTTGCCCTCATTTGCTGCTTGAGATATTTTTAGCTTTGCAAATCTAAATGCAGCGCACACATATCCTGAACAAATGTATCGGGAATGAATGAAATTGAATCCTGCGTTTCTTTAGGTGTGCTTTAGGGGGAGCTCTTGATTAGTAGTAGCTCCCAACTCTAAAAGATAGCTTTGGGAGTGACTTGCTTTGGTTCTGAATGCTGATGAATTTTTGATCAATTCTCCTTAAAATGTTATGATCTTTTGGTGAGAGAACTGGGCCAAGGGTCAGCAATGTTACTGGCTTTTAAACTGAGCTGTTCTTATACCGTATATAGCTTGGAGTAGTATATAGATAGTCCTTGTTTACTGATCACTCATTCAACAACTGTTTGAAGTGATGACAACACTGAAAAAGGAGACTTATGACTGGTCCTCAAAGCTGTGGCTGTTACAGCATCCCTGTGATCACGTGATTGTGATTTGGGCTTTTTGCAATTGGTGTGAATTTAGGATACTTGCAGCGTCCTGCGAACATGTGATTGCCATTTGTGACATTCACAACTGACTTCAGACAACCAGAGCCAATGAGGAAATCAGATATGTGATGTTGCACTTAATCATCTGCAGTGGTTTGCTTAATGACCACAACTGGAACGGACAGTGTAAGTCAGCTCAGTTAAAAACTGCATTACCTAACAACAGAATTGCTGGTCCCAATTGCAGTAGGTATGTGAAGAATATCTGCAATCCTAAAGCGTGGTTCTACTATGTAACTACTCTGTGAAAGAAAAAGAAAGTACTTCTGAGCATGGAAGGAGAGCATACAGGGTCTTTTACAGAGACTACAGGAACCGACATTAGATTCTTCAAGTGGTATGCAGCTTTTATAACATTACTTAGCATGAACTCATGTAACCATTAGATAATTTAGATCAATGTTTCTCAACCTTGACTAGTTGAAGTCCACCCATCCTCAAGTGGCCAAGACAGATAATTAAGAAGCTGAAGGAAGAACACATAGCCTTCATCTGCTAATTTCTGGCTGCAATCACTGCCTGTGAAATAGCGGAGGGATTAAGTGGCATAAAATGAGTGAATGAGATAAGGGTGGCCCATCATATTAACCATTACATTGAGCCATGGTGGCGCAGTGGTTAAAATGCAATAGTGAAGGCTACTTCTGCTGGGTGCAATTTGGCAGTTCAACTCTCATCAGGTTCAAGGTTGACTCAGCCATTTATTCTTCTGAGGTCGGTAAAATGAAGACCCAGATTGTTGGGGGCAATATTCTGACTGTAAATTGCTTAGAGAGGGCTGTAAAGCACTGTGAAGTGGTATATAAGTCTATTGCTATATCCTACAGAACCAGATGTACAATCTAAGTTTTATTCTTAGATTGGTGATGTGATGTCTCCCAGAAATGGGAAAGGAAATACATAAAGTTTTTTTTTAAAAAAAATAGCCCAGACACTGCTAAGCAAAATAATCCCACAAATAGAAGTTCATAAAGACACAGACATCATCTTTCTTTCTCTCTCCATCCTCTATAGTAAATTCTTTAAAATGTTTTCTATTCAACAGTTTATTTGTTAATTCTTCTTAATTATACTATCGGACATAAGTGCATTTATGCAAATAGTAATTTTAAATGCCTTCTGTCTAACCTACAATTCTGGGAATCCCAGGCAATTCCCCTTTAATTATTAATCAGGGTTAATCTTGCTTAGCTTCTGAGATCAGCTATGGTCTGCTGGATACTATTTGTCAGTGCAATGATAAAAAATAAATCTTTACCCATAAATTTCAAATGGACTGTTAAAAAACAACAGATACAAAATAGGCTGTGATGTTACATTATGATAGTTTACCAATGATCTTTCTTAATTTTCCTGTTCCTTCCCTCTCCTTTTGTAGTGTTAGTTTAGTAATTTGAGCTTATCATTTCTCAGAACTGAAAAGGCAAGCAGAAACACACAAAGATATTTGAATGAAACCTAAACAAGCCTGATTGCGGGGTGATGCAGAACTTCAAGGTGGCAATCAGTAAAAAAAACACACCTCCTTCAAAGGGTCTTACTAAAGTTGATTGATGCCAGGCCACTCCCTGGCAGTGAAATTCTAGATGGAGTATGCAGAATATCTTGCCTTCTAAGATAAATGTATAAGATAAATATGTTGCTAAGTTTTAACAATCCTCGGGGATCAAATAATTTTATGGGTTTGGGATGAATTTGACTCAGCTCATTATTTTAAAGGGAACTTATGCATCCAACACTCTGACTATCCAAACTGCAATACAAAATCCTTCAGGTTTTTTCCCTTTTCAGAATTTTACAATGTATTTTCTTCCTATTGAAATGGAGAAGGTGAAAAAAGAGCATGCTTTATAAAAAGCCTTGCATTAAAAGGGACCGATTAAGAGGAAATGCAACTATATATGTTTGAGAAATTGTATACACTTTTACAGACACAGAAATGTAGGTGGATCTTCTTGCAGATTTTAAACAATTCATTAGATTTGCATAGAAATAGAGCAGGATCATTATGCACAGAAGGACAGGCCTAAATGGCCATCCACAAACATCACATAGATCAATCTAACAGTTCATGCCAAGGAGGCCCTTTCCAGTAAGGCTAATACAGTTGCTGATATTATCTCCTTTGCATAAAACCTACAATCCTATTTCAATCTTTCTGCTGGTCTTCTCTCACTATAAATGCTTACCGTTGGTTAGTGTTTGCAAGATAGCATCTGCTACACCCCAGATGGCAGGTATTATAAAAAATAGGGCAAGTTGGTTTGAGTAAGGTTTCCAGAGCAATAGCACTATTATGCAGCTGAGATGGAGAATGGCACCTGTTGGACGAGGCAAAGATCATGAGAAAACAGTAAAGCACATTCCAATTCAGACAAGAACTGCTTATCATCGTAGGACCTGGAATGCACCTTAGCTATAACTTCCTTTCTAGCACCCAGTAAACTCTGGAAGAAAGAAGCAGGATTGGTCCAGACAAGGAAACTATATTTTCTATTGCCACAAAAGACAGGACTAGAACCAGTGGGTTAAAACAAAGGAAGGTGGTTTAGACTAGACATTAGGAATAATCTCTTGATTGTATGTAAGTGTTAGGCAGTGGAAAAGGCTGCCACATTATGGAGCAAGTTCTCATTTGCTAAAGGTTTTCCACCGAAGGTGGACGATCATCTACTAGATATACTGTAGGGCAGGGATGTCAAACTCGCAGCCCGGATGTGTCACATGCTGGCCACCCCCATTCCCCCAGTTTAGTGAAGGGGAAAAATGTTGTGATATGTCACGTGACAACAACATAACGCCACATGTTCGATGTCCCTGCTGTAGGGAATCTTGCATTGAGCCAGATGCTGGTCTACATGACCTCTAAGGTATCTTTCTCTCTATGGTTCTAGGGCTCAAGTATTTCATATATCACCTGACCTCTCTCATTCAGGCAGCCTTTTGTCAAGCTGCCACATTAGCCTCCAAAAAGATGCTAATGTTGTAATATGCCTTTAAAGCAGCAGACTCCTTTTGCTATTCCAATAAATAGTAAAATAGTCACATTTGTGTAAGATCTAACGCAATTCTTCCAAAACATTTTCAAAGTAGGCATAGCCTTAAGACCATTTTTTGTAAAAAAAATATTACCCTGTTTCCCTGAAAATAAGAGCTCCCTGGATAATAAGCCCAATTGGGCTTTTGAGTGCATGCGCTAAAATAAGCCCTCCCCAAAATATAAGCCCTCCTCAAAAATATTGTAATGCAGCAGCAGCCATGAGGCGACCATGCTCACCACTTCCTGCACCTCAAAAATAATAAGACCTCCCTGAAAAAAAGGCCAAGCGCTTATTTCAGGAGTGAAAAGAAAATAAGACCCTGTCTTATTTTCGGGGAAATACGGTACCTATATCAATACATTATAAAAAGAGTACCAGAATTGATGATATGAGGTCAGATACTGAACTTAATAAGCTGGATCATGAAATTACATGAAGCCCCACAAATCAGGTGATTTCCAGGACACCTTCTCCAAGTTGGAAACCTTCAGTTCCTTTACCTACAGATGGTTTTCTGAGAACTCTTGGAGTTACAGTGAATTATAATTCTGGTACCCTTGGAGAATTCTTCAATAAAGTTACTGATTCAGCAAATATATTTATATAACTATTGGGACTGTTGCTTTGTCATCTTGCTAGTGATGGGAAACTATGTTCTTCAGCAATTGCTTAACTTGTATCCTATTTCTCAAAGCTCAAGTCAAATCCACCCAGGCCATTACACTAGATAATGGGCCATATAAATGTAATAAAATGTAATTTAAAAAACCCAGTTAGCCTTTACCTACCCAATGTAAAGAGAACCTTTCTACCGGTGAACTGGTAAATCTTGCCAAACAGCAAGGAGGCGAGTGAGTTTGTAGCTGAAAAGCAGATCATCACATATCCAACGAAGTTTATCCCAAGAGCACAGGTCACATAGGACTAGAAAGAAAGTGGGAAAGAGAGAGGTGCCCACAGTTATTTCATTATACAGAGCAGCAGCTTCAATTTTCTTGTTTGCAGTTAAAGGCCTGATGGGTGCTTCAGAGTGCAGGTGTTGAATATTCATGCCACACTTACATGATCAATAAAGCTATTCCCTGTCTCGCTATAGAGCCTCTAAATGCAGTGTGCAGCTGCTGTGCAATATGGGTAGACAGCCAGGACTTTGATCAGCTATTGCAGCTGTTCTTAAGCACAAAAACAAGTGAAAACTGGACCTGAAGTTGAAAAGACATAACCTACTCATTCTCAAAGTAGTATCCTCCAGGTGTGTTGTAATTGCTTGATAGCCTACCCTTTGGGTTTCTGCCTGTTCCAGCAATCTAATAGAGGTAACATGTTCAGGGTCTCCTTGATGAAACAATATCATCTGGGAGGTTCTGGGAAGTGTACCTTCATTCTCAAGGTGTCTGCCTTATGGAAGAGCCTCCCCCTGGACAGACTCACCCCTTTGGGCCTTCTGGAAGATTGTAATGACTTGGCTTTTCCCCTAGCATAGGAATTGGATTCTAATGGAACTCCTGCATTTGTATGTGTAACATATGGACAATGAGCTTTTTTATAGGTGCCTCAACTTGTTTTTTAAAATTATTTTATATTATGTTTTCACCTACTCGAGATTCCACTGGTGGCCATATAAATGTAATTTTAAAAAAACCCGGTCATTTCAACACACTGGAATTCTTAGCAAAGATAGAATCCTTTGGACATATTGACAAGGAATTCTGAAAGTTTTAATTCTGATGCAACTGGAATATAAAAACCTGGATACGCTCCTGAGTTTGGAGCACTCCATGTGCCAAGAGTTCTGCTTCTCGCTATATTATTAATGGGACAGATGTCTCATTTTTGTATGTATTGAAACGTTTTAATATCTTTTACTGTTTTAACATTTTTATTGTTTTTATTGTTTTATTGTTTTATGATGTTTTTCAAATTTTAATTGTAATATATGTTTTGAATTGTGAGCTGCCCAGAGTCATTTGCTGAGATGGGCAGCTATAGAAATCCAAGGAATGAATGAATGAATGAATGAATGAATGAATGAATGAATCTGTCTGTCTGTCTGCCTGCCTGCCTGTCTGCGTGCCTACCTACTCTTTGAATAAATCATTTTGATGAAGTGATTTATAAATTAACAGTTCATACTGTGTAAAGAACCAAAAACTATGCCTAGGAAATAGTTCTCCTAGAAGGCCTTGCTACCTATACTTATGTTCTTTAATCCCAGTATGATTCCCAAATGGTTGTATTGTTTCTTTTTAAAACATTTCCAAGAATTAGAGCCAAAGGGAATACATAGGTGACTAAATCTGGTGGCACATCATTTAAATGAGTTTTCTAGACCCTTGAGAGAGAGAGTCTACACTAGGTATTCTGTGGTGCGATTCTGTGGTGAACTTCTGCTCCTTCTGCATTTTTTCACTTAACACCTTAAATAGATTAGATAAACCTATATTTTATAACCCACCTTATTGTAGTCACTGGCCAGGAATCCTTGCTCAAGTCCACTATACATAGTCAAAGGTATCAAGAGACACTGGCGTTTATCTTTAAGATGTTGAAATGTTTCCAGAAATGTGGATCTAAAAGATGACCTGGACTTTTCTTCACTCTCTGCTTGGTTGGTTGAGATTTGATCCAGAAATATAGTCACTAGCAACACAGCTAGAATCTCACTAGCTGAGAAATGAAAGGAAGTATTTGAACCAACAAAATTAAAAGGGTACATTGTGTTTGGAAAAATTGGTGTTTAATAATAAAATCATATTTCTTGGCTTATTAAGTGCTACTAATTTAAATTAGCAATATTAAAAATGTCTTCTTTTAACCCAAAGCAAAATACTTTTTGGGCATCCTTTTTTCACAATTTTTTTTTGCTCAGCTGTGACGTTTGTGTTATGACAGATAGCAGGAAAAAAACAACAACCCCACAATCTGCTGTTGCATTAAACATTTGTTACCATTCCAGGTCAAAACAAAGGCTTTACTGAGATTAGCATGAATATGGTATCACACATCTGTCAATATTGCTTCTTCTCTGGATAAGCATATTTTTGAGCCATTTCCTTGCAATGATAGTATTTTCTAAATTACATGTAAAAGGACATTATACTTAAAGCAGAAATGTTAATTTTTATTATATTACATGGATGGAAGTTGAAGTAAATTCAATCCAATCAAAAGGATTGAATATACTGTATGAATTGAAATGATCTACAAAATATTCAGAATTTGGTAAGATTTACTGTTTCTCTGTATTTATTTTGAATGGAAAATGTTACCTTCAGAGTAAAAGCATGTCATGTCAAAGCATAATATTTTGATCCCTAATATTTGAAAATATTTGACACATGACACCCCCTGCATGCACCCCACCCCCATATATGCGCAGCAGAGATCTGAAAACCAGCTGGCTGATGGGAGGTGTGCATGCATGCATGGTGGAGCTGAGCTGGGATGATGACTCATGTGCCTCCAGAGAGGGCTCTGTGTGCCACCTGTGGCATGTGTGCCATAAGTTCACCATCATGGTCCTATACTATGGTTGGTTGAACTTCGTTGGACTTGGCCTATAGCTTTTCATTCTCAGATTCTGATTCAATTGAGATTTCTTCCTACATCCAGTCCTGAGTGAAGGAGAAATCCAGAAAAGCCTTATATGCTATGAACACAGATACCACAAAATATGATCCACTTCTTTCTGCAGTGTTCCTAAGAGCATTTAAAGGACTAGCAAGAAACAATGGATTTTAATTAAAAGGGAGATGTTTTTGATTGTATAAAGGTCGTCTAATAAGGGAATGGACGGCTTTGAGAGATGGCGGACTCTCCTTCACTAAAGCATTTAAACCAGAGGTGGGTTGCTCCTGATTCAGCCCAGATTGGTTGAACTAGTAGTGGAGGTGGCAGGAGGCTCTGCCCACCTGCCCGGTCACTTCTGCGCATGCACAGAAGCATTGCGTGCGTGTGTGAACCAAGAATTTAAAAAATGGAAACCCACCACTGATTTAGCAATAGCAATAGCAGTTAGACTTATATACCGCTTTCAGCCCTCTCTAAGCAGTTTACAGAGTCAGCATATTGCCCCCACAATCCGGGTCCTCATTTTACCCACCTCGGAAGGATGGAAGGCTGAGTCAACCTTGAGCCGGTGAGATTTGAACAGCCGAACTGCAGAACTGCAGTTAGCTGAAGTAGCCTGCAGTGCTGCATTTAACCACTGTGCCACCTTGGCTCTTTAAACAAAACTAGACAGACATCTGATGTCAGGGATGCTTTAAGAGTAGATTCTTCCTCTGGTGTGGATATTGTCTAATATCCTGTTCAAATTTACATGTAGGGATTATATATATAATATATATATACATAGGGAGACATATATATATATATATGATGTCATTTTTCTCATTTTAGCAAATATATGAATAATTTATAAATCTTGTTTAAAGCTACTGTAAACTTCTCAATTTTTCTTATTTGTCTTTGGTCAATTTTCCATATATTGAAATTCAGTGTCATCGATCCTCATCACTGGTGAACCTTGATCTCTATTTGTATTGCATTGTATTGTATTTGGTTTATTTGTATGCCGCCCTTCTCCAGGAGGGACTCAGGGCGGCGAACAACTCAGAGGGGAAAGGGAACATAAACAACAGTACACAGCTGCTATTTGAAGGTTAAAGGAATTTAAATCTTGCCATGTTGGAGCGCAAGGCATGAAAAGCAAATTTCCTAGAACAGGGGTGTCAAACTCAAGGTCTGCAGACCGAATCCGGCCTGTGGGGTGCTTAGATCTGTGGGGCCACCCTGGAAACAGTGAAACATCGACCCGCAGTGGCTCTCCCATCAAAAACGGGCTCCCAAGCTCCATTTTTTGCTGCAACCACCTCCTGCAACCCTCTGCCAGCAAAAACAGAGCTTGGGAGGGTGGCCCTCCCAAGCTCTGTTTTTTGCTGGCAGAGGGTTGCAGGAGGCCATTGCAGCTGAAAATGGAGCTTGAGAGCCCGTTTTCACTGGCAGAGCACTTGGGCTGCCACAGGCACCCCCAACAAGCTGGCCGTGCCCACCACAGCTCTCCAAAGTCAAACACAACCCTGAGGTGGCCCTCAATGAAATCGAGTTTGACACCCCTGTCCTAAACAATCTTCCATCAAAACACTACCTAAACCAAGAACCTCACTTGAGTAAGGTCCAGCATTATATAACTTTAAAATGTGCTCTGATACATTATGCATACAAATTATGCACATTTTCCTTCATCATATGTCAAAGATGCGTGAGAGGGCTTACCTGTGTAGATTCCCATCAAAGTATAGATCAAAGTATTAGATGGTCCTTTTGATGTCACAGTCCTATTTGTGGTGTTTACCATGCAACTGCCTACACCACAGCACACCAGATCTGCTTCTGTGAGATTCACTAATACATTAAAAACAAAAGGAAACAGGGTTTTATTAATGGTCAAAATACAGACAAGAATGAAGGTTGTATAAGCAAATGAAGGCCAAATATACAATCCACTTGCAATTCCCTGTCATCAGTTTTAAGTTTTGTTTCAAAGAAAGTTAAACTGCATTGGTATTCTTATTTGTAATCTAAGAAATATCTGTGGGGGTCTATGATATTTCTTTCTTTCTTCTTTCTTTCTTTCTTTCTTTCTTTCTTTCTTTCTTTCATTCATTCATTCATTCATTCATTCATTCGATTTCTATAACCACCCACCTCAGTCAAAGATTCTGGGTGGCTTACAATTCAAAAAAGTATATTACAATTAAAAATACTAAAAACATTTTAAAACATCCATATTAAATATACATAGGAGCAAGATATTTGTTCTATTAGTAGTACAGCCTGGAAACGGGGCCATTGGCACCCTGTGCACCCCAGGCATGTAAACATAGGCAGGTTTTTAGGTCCTTATGGAAGGCTAACAGGGTTGGGGGCCATTCTAATCCCCTGTATACTCTGTTATAAAAAATAAATTCCTAAGTGGTCTTTCTTGTGCATTCATGCTGAAAGTCCTTCTCTCTAAATTAGTGGTCCAGAAGTTCAAGCAATTATATCAAGAACTTGCTAATGCGTTGATGCACATCAGTGATGGGATTCAATTTTTTTTACTACCAGTTCTGTGGGCGTGGCTTGGTGGGCATGGCATGGCTTGGTGGGCGTGGCACGGTGGGCATGAAAGGGGAAGGGTACTGTAAAAGCTCCATTCCCTCCCCACTCCAGGGAAAGGCTACTGCAAAATCCCCATTCCCTTCCAATGAGCAGGAACTCAGGAGGCAGAGAATAGATGAGGGGTCACT